GGAAAGAAATGCAAAAAAAATATTATTTCCTGATTTACTTTTGAGAGGTTGTATGAAGATATATTGGCCAATGTTTTATATGTCTGGGGTTTTTTTAGTACACTCTATAAAAATACAGTGAAGGGGCACACACTGCATTATGCATTAGACTTTGGCTGCAGATTTTTGTAGGAATTATATTACTAGCTTTAAGCCAGTAATGGATAGGTTTATTCTATATGATCTGTTGCTATACTCTCTTACACTACTGTAAACTCAACAGAATTTTTGAGGTACCTTGTGAATGAGAATACAAATAACCTCATTCTTAAAAACAGAGTAAGAAGATACACAAGATGTACAAATAACCAAAGAAAATACGTTACAATCTGGTTTGCTCTGCAATATTTTGTTTATCTGGCTTTTGCTTTCAGAGCCTATTCCTACTACTTAAATAGTTGCAAAAATGATTTCTGAAGCCTGGGAATTTAAAATGCTTTATAGAAAACCTTTGCACTTAGAACTTTTATTTATTTATTTATTTATTTTCATTTTTAGGGTACAAGGTTTTTATGTTTGACTTCTTATCATATTTTTCATGTATGAATCTTCAATGTGAATTTGTTGTCTAACATGTTATGAATTACCTCACCATCGTATCTTTCAAATATTTAACTGTAATGATTCTTTTTGCTGGAGATCACACATCTTTGTACCTATGCTTAATTTTGTAATAAAACATGGAATACACCTTGATTTTTTTTTTTTCCACATTTTTTTCAGTGACACCTATGTAATAAAGGTGTTGTAAAATGTTATAATTGTAGCTATATATTGTCTATTCTAGGCAGCAAGCTTAATGCAGAATCCCCAAGTTCAACAACTGTAAGTATAAAAATGGAGTTCTACTGAAACAAATGTCTTTAAGGGTTTGAACTAAAAGAAAAGGTAGTCAGTACTGAATTCCTGAAAATGTAATTTTGTATTTCTTTACTGTAAATAGAAATACTGCAGTTTCTTCCTCTCACAGCTTAGTTCCTCCCTGTACTTCAACAAAGAACTGCAGTTTATTGCTTACTGTAAAGGTCCCTGCAGACCCCAATGCATACGCTGTGCTAACTATTCCAGGATGTCAGGGATGATGTCAAATGCCATTGGTGGCCCTGCTGCAGGTGTTGGTGGCCTGTCAGATTTGTCCAGCCTGATCCATGCGTAAGTATTATGAATCATAGTTTTACTGATACATTTGTAGAAACTTCACAGGACACCATGTATTAAAAAGGGATCGTATCAAACCAGTTAAACTGCAGCCTTTCCTCATTGTGTGCCTGATTATTATTAAATCAAAGGTCTTAAAGGCTTATGTATAGTAGTACATCTCCGTCAATTGCAATGACTGTGTGCTCAGTTTCATTTTCTGGTTTTCATACAGTGTTAATTTTCTAAATGCAAGTTGAGTGCTACTCAAACTCTTTAGTTACTTGTACCAAGTGCATTTCAAATTGTGTTGATCCTGTGTATTTCAAATTGTGTTGATCCTGTGTTTGTGTGAATTGTGTTGAAATTGTGTTATGACCTGATATCCTAGACTTGAAAAAGCTACAGATTACCTAGCACAAGTTGCAACAAGTTCTAAAGTTGTCTCTGACTTAAAGTGCTCTGGCAAACCTACATTTAGACTAAAAGGACGCCAGGGAACTCAGATAATAGCAAGAGAGTGGCTTTTACAAAAACCAGAACCCCAGTCTTTTATAACATTATAAGAATGATGCACCTGGAAGAGTGAGCACAAAAACATGCAGTTGCTTGTATGGCAAATCCTAGTAACAGTTCTACAATTTTATTTTCAGTCTTCAGCCTGTTTCAAACCATTTTAAGTTTTGCCTTATCAAGGGAAGAATAAATTATAATTGACATCACAGACAGGACTGTGACCCTCCAAAATCAAGGGCCATTTTTACAAAAATCGTGCTATGTACAAAAATGTTCCTAGACTTATGAAAAAGGTGACTTTTCTTCAACCTTCACTTTGGTTGAAAGGAGTCTGATTAACCTTCAATATTTGGACAAATGAATTAGATTCAGTATCATGGCAGGCCATCCATGAGGTAACAGATTTTACATAGTTGCTTTTTGTAGTAAACCAGTGTCACGCTCATCTCCTACCTGGAATGAATCTCAACAAGAATTCCAATCTTAAACTGCAACTGTTGTGGAGATTACTCTGCTATTACTTCAGTCATGCAAGAAACTTTCTTTTGTTGAGCTCTTGCTACAAGTTGCCAACCATGTACTACATTTCAACCTTAGTTATCTAAGAATAGTTACCTTTAACTACTACAACAAATCATCTCAAAGAGAAGGGAGCAAATCACAAAAATATATTTGCTCCTATATCTTAGTAAGTAACATAATACTTTTTTTCCATGTTACCAAATACAAAAATAGTCCAAAAAAAACCCCCAAAAAAACAAAAAAACCTGATGAGGAAGAGACTGGTGAGATTTTAAGTAGATAATGTCATGATACTATAACTACTTTGCTGTATAGTCTTAATCAAGGTATCTTTAGTCTTAGCTTTCCTATGATGTAGTTTTCAATTCTATTAGGTTATCTCATTTTGTTACAAACCTCTGTTACTTTTTCAATTATTTAAAAACTTTTCAACATAGGGGGCAGCAGTTTGCACAGCAGATACAGCAGCAGAATCCAGAGCTCATAGAGCAACTGAGAAATCATGTCCGGAGCAGATCTTTCAGTGGCAGCACCGAGGAACATTCCTGACTTAAATGAGTCCTGTGAATTGCAATGGTATATAACCCCAAAATGCATATCATAGTTAGCAGCAAAAGCACCATTGTTAACTCTTCTGCTTGAATAGAAGACTGAAAATTCTTTGTGTGTGTTTGCAAACGAGAATAAATCTGTTAAACAGATCTATTGCACATAACATCATTTAATGTATAGTTAATCCTCTGAAAATTAATATACTAAATACATTCAGTGGTTTATTAAAATCCTTATGTACAAGTCATTTTCAGTATGTGCATTAGATTGATCTCCATGGGTGTTAAATGGCAAGGAGTTCTGCAGTTGGCTGATGTAGTGTAACAACTTAATTCTAAAATCCTAATGTAAAAGGCATGTATTCTGATGATGAAAACTGTTACAACTGCTGAAACAATAGTTTCATCAGCCCTTTCAATGGACATTTGATGTGCCCTTCTATGATGAGTGTAAATCGATATTGGAGTGTAGAGTGTACATAAAACTTCTGCTTGAAGTCTGTTTGTACCTGTGGAGAGGCTGTCAGTGGTAACACGAAGTACTTTTTCACCTGGCTGGAGAAAAGGAAATGACTGCATATAAAGGAGTACCAATTGTAGAGAAAAAAGATAATTATTAAGTGGAATTATACATACACCAAGATACAATTTGGCTTGGTTTGGAAATAGTATTAAGGAGTTTCAGGCTCCTCAGCTGCCATGTATACCCTCAGATCAACCCTGGAGGCCAGCAGTGTGGTTCTGTTTCCACAGGCATTGCAAACTGTATTACATTCTGTAGGTATGCAGTATTTAACATAAGCTTAACATTCATAACTGGAATAAACTAAAACTGATCATATGACTGTATAAACATCTTGTACTGAAAAGTAATCAGCAATGATTGCCTTAGAAGGATTCTCTTTCTGTTCCTGCATGATAAATCACCTCAGATTCATTGTATGTATCTACTTTTAGCAATGATTGTATGGCTAAAGATTTTTCTAGTTTTTGTTATTTCTGTTCTTACATTGGCATTCTTTATCAGCTAACCTTATTCTGAAAGAGACCACTATTTTTCTGTATTTTCTTTTAAATTCTGCTTGTTGCTCACATTGCTTTCTGTGATGAGGTGCATTTGTTTCAGCTCCAGTGAGCTTTTCAACACACTATTTCCTCTTTCTAAATCGAAACTAAAACTAATCTGAGGAGCCTGCTTCGATTCCTAAGACAAAGTGCCCTCTACTGGCCTCTCAGACTATAGGCAGCCTTGACAATAAAACAGAGGCTCCCAAATGGAAAAAGACACAGTAACTCCTTGGACGTTACACATTATACCTGATTTATTTTGTGGGCAAAAGAAACAAACAAACTCAGAAAACACGAAAGTGGGACTAAGTCAGGGATGCCATTAAGAAATGCGTGCACCCATTGCACAAGTCTTCAGCAACTAAAACACAGGGAAACAATGCAATCGGGTCCAAGGAGAAATGGAATGGAGAAAACAAACAAAAAAAATCCCACAATCACAAAATCCGCATTATCATCTGTTGAATACAACGCTTAATACAGCAGCATCAAAATATTCGTAGTTTCTTCAACAAAGCAACCCTGCACACAGCACTTACTTAAAAAAATTTATCTGTAAGTTGCTGTGGCTGCCTTGTTAGGGTTGTGAAGATATTTAAGCTTCACATTAAACAGATTTCCAAGTAAAAACTGTTAACAACATTTGATGACAAAGAAGCTTTTTAATGTCATCTTTTTTCAGAGGTAGTTAAGATTCTCAATCTAATCTGTGAGTTAAGTTCAGTTACACTAACATAAAAGGATACTGTCTACAGGAAAGGTTGATGTATATGTGTGCTATGTGGGCTAAAACTACCATACAAACAGTATTCTGTGTGTTGTGTCAGGAAAGAAGTGTTGCTCCTAGCACATAACTCCTATTAATCTTCACATTTCCTTAATTTCCTTTCATAGTAAGTTTTATTAGCTTTGCTAAGGGGAGAGTAGTAAATCCAGGAATGTCTGGATAGCACATGGGGATCTCTCTCAATTAATTTATACTTCTGTTGGCAGCACTGTTGATGCAGATATCTTTCTACTTTAAAACAGCAAGTGTGAAGAACCTGTTGAGAATTCCTGTAAAACAACAAAATGTGGTAATACTAATAAACTGCTGTAGAGGTTGTACTGTCTTCCATAAATATACTTTTTTTTTTTTTTTTAATTGTTTACTGGTATGGCCTTATATTGTATTTATCAAAGTATAATCCCCAAGATAAAAGATAAATGAGTTATTGGTTTGTTATTTGAAAACACTGAAATCATCTTTATGGATATTTTACATACTACAGTATCGTCAATGTTTAGGTTTTATGCCTGTATAAACCATATGTAACCAGAATTTGTATTACAATGGTGGCATTAGCTAATTTTTTTGGAATGTGCTATAGCTCGTGTAATACTTGTAAACATTCTTTGTTTCTTGTGTATTAACAAAAAGGGCTTTATAGCCTCAATAAAAGACAGTGCAACCAATAACAGGAGCCATTATTACATGTTTTTCTATTAAAGCCAGGGACAAATGGGTTATTTATGCTGAAATCTATCTGGCCTTGAATAGGCTGAATTGTTTCACAAAGTCATGCAATATGCCTTTAACACGGTGAGGAAGGAATCTTTACCTGTGTAATAACTGCACTCTTGTTTTGCGCTAATATTTTTCATCCTGCTAGATCAAGTGGTAAACCCCAACCACAGAAAATACTGTTTTAAATTAAAGTCAGTTGCAGTTTTTCATTTAACTGAACAAATACACATTTAACACCAAACTGATTTTGTATCATTATTATTCCAGCAACATGCAAGTGTGATAATGGTTAGAGAAGAAAACGTTTTGCACTCAAACTGTAAATGTCTGTAGCCTGCTTGCATGGAAATATATGCTAACTGCCTGATCAGAAAAACATCTAATGAAATATTCACCACAGAAATTGTTTCTGTTCCACTTCTGGTTTTCTAATGAGTATGAAGTAAACTCACTCATATCAAGTCTGCAACTTGTGACAAAATCTTCATACACTGCTTGAGGGCTACTGATAGTCATTCTGACAAAATGCAACTTGTCTACTATTTCTGACCCTCTCCTACTTTTTATTACCACAAGGTCACATCTTCAATTTGTGTCAATTTAACTTGAAAACAGATTATAAAGTTATTTACATTTCTTTGTTTGGATAGTTGTGGCTTTGCTGTTTTAGCTTATTGGTATCCCTGAAAAGAGTAAGTAGATAATTGGTTGGTATGCATCTTATTAATGTGCAGAGTATAATTTCTTTTATTTCCTTTAATTTAGTTAACTGGTCATAAATTTATCCACTATCTTAAAACTGAAAGTTAAAATTGAAAGATTCCATGTACAGTGAAGTCTAAAGTATATGTTTTCAAAACTACAGTTACTAAATGACAATATAGTTTGACAAACCATGGAAGAGAATCTTTACTATTGGATGCATAACCACTACTAAACTAGGAGTACCAGCAAACATCTTCTGTATTAAATGGCTAACTTGGCAACCTTAAGATAATACAATTATCTTAAATTTCAATTGTACGTCAAAACACAGCTAGGGAAAAGTATATTTTAGTGCTTAACAGAGTCCTGAAGTCCTTTGCAGACCCTGATCTAGGTCACACAGTTTTCTTCTCATTTTCTTAAAATTTTAGTTTGGCACTGCTTTCTAGCATGGGAAAAATAATTTACACTACCTCAGGTTAACAATCAAAAATACCTGAGTCTTTAGTTCCCTTGTAGCAGGAAGATAACATACTAGTTCACAACATGCCCTGCAATCGCAGGGAAGCACAGAACAGTGAAATTTCTCCACCTGATGGATAATCTAGTCTACTATCATCCCAATAACACTAGGTGCTCCCCTTCACGTCAGGCTAGACATGTGCCAATGCAAGTATACTGCTACTCCAGATACCCAGACGTATTTCTTTTGGGATTTGAATCCTGGAACTTGTCTATGAAAGGCTAAGTCCTTGTCACTAAAACAGTTTTGTCAGAACCACAATTTAATAACTTCAAAATGTTTAAGATCATTAAAATAACAAAAATACATACAGTGCATTGCTATTTTAAATAAGCAGATTCAAAGAAACTCCATGTCAATCCTTACCCTCACCCAACACAACATTTAATGAAATACAATTTGCTTGAACAACGCTTTTTTCAAAGGCTTTATTTTCATGAAGATGCATATGCATCCTTTGAGAAGATTTTAAAACATTCAAAAAAAATGCTGAGAAATTAAATAAGCAACTTGTGCTTATGGGTATATTAGGGGTTTATTTTGTCTTTACACAATACGATTCAACTGCAAAAACAGAAGAAGTTGGTCCAAAAAACAAACAGCAGAAATAAAGCTTTTCTTCAGCTTTCTTGTTTTATCTTTGAAGAAACAACACAGACTTGTGCAATATCATCATATTCGTATGTTCTCTTCAAAAATGTGTCAGTAAGTCTTAAGCCAGAGACACTCTAGAAAAGAAAAAAAAATAATTATAAGACATATTATTAGAATTACTAAACTCATAAAACAGGAATTTTGTAACAAATCCATGCCATTGACTTACTTGCAATCCCTGCACTGAAGACAATAATGTAAGTGCAAGACGGAGAGAGGAACTTGGGTGTAATTTTCCAAGTTGTCTTCCAGAAACTCCACACCAGTGGATGGAATTAGTATTGCACATTTCTAAAACCAGATCCATAGTCCTTTCACTGCTAGAGGAAATTGAAAAATGAAAACAAATCTGTGGACTTTTTTTTAAGCATTCAATGACTGCAAATATTTAACAGCTAGGTTATTATTTGGGTTGTTATTAATGAAACAATTAAAATTAATTTATATAATAAGACAGCAAATAAGATTTACTGCACTAGTGATGTGCACTAATTTATTTACACACAGTCTTGGCTAATGTGAGTGCTCTGTCATGGATTTAGTTAATTGGAGAAGATAATAACGTTCACCTTTTCAGTATGCAGTACCTGCAGACCAGGTATTTGCTTTAGTTCCTGGCTTCAAATTTTGTTTAGAATTACTTTACAAAAGTGTTGCAGGAGACAATAAAGGTCTACTGGAGAACACAGTGTAAATACAAATCAAGACAAAACATGCATAAAGACCCACAAAAGACCACATAAGAGAATGTTTAGGAGACATTCTAGGGGTGGTACAGAATTAGCAGTAAAATCAAACTTGACATAAATGGTATTCTGATAAACTATCTGTAATTAAAAAAAAAAAAAAAAGCAAAACAAGCAAGCACTAGTTCTGTGAAAGAACTAAGAAGACTTCTGCTTTAAGTATGCAATTGAACCGTAAAATCTATAAGACTGATACTGCAGTCAATTCTGCAGAATTCCACTGCTGATTTTTGACAGTCTCCTAATTAGAATAGTATTAACACATAGTAATGGAAGATATATTTAATTGTTTAGAATCACTGGAATCCAAAAGATGTTTAAAGTAATGAACCATAATGAACCGAAGTAAAGTCCATATTTGAAATGTTTCAGGAGAAATGCCCTGAAAAATGTAATAGTCACAACTTAGCAACTAAGAAGGAAGAACAAGACTCACATGACATCATTACCTGCAATTTGTTATTTTACATGTAATATCAAAAGGCTCTTCCAAATTTACGGTGTCTGGTATTGTCTCCAGAGAAAGCCTTACATCACCATAACCAGGAGCCTGGGGAAGTACAAAAATGCACATTTCTCAAACACTGGTTGGTAAAGTTGGAGTTTTTACTATTCATGTTTTCATTTACTACAACAGGTTTACAATAACAGGATGTGAAGAGGATTGTTTTTTCTTGCTCAATTAGTGTACCATCCACTATTATCACCTTTCTGATAGATTTAACAGTTCATTAGACAGAATGATCTGCATCAAGTATAATGAATTAATTTACAGGGAACAATATGCACTTTATTATTAAGTTTTTCGGACAGTTCACTCTCTGAGTTCCAATACTCATACACTGTTCCTGATTAACATTCATTTCTATGACCTCTCTATCAGATGGTTATCAGAGATGCTATGGGTAATATAGTTTTCCTGGATTAGTCCTTCAGTATTCTTCATTTTTAGAAAAAGTATTATACCTCAGGAATAAGATGGTGCATTCTCTTACTATTTCAGTCTCCCAAACATCTGCCAAAATAATTAGTTGTCACCAGATAGAATGGTGCATTAATACTTTTCTGTATTTTGGAAAGAGCCAAACACATCTCATATGATTTACTAACAAACCCACAATGAACACCCAATGTAGTACAAACTTGGGTGGACTGAAAATCTAATGCTTTTTATCTTTAAGTTTAATCTCCCAAATGATAAAATGATAAAGGAAAAATGAAGGAAATTTTATTCTGCTTAACAAGTCGTAGCTGAGACATATGTTCAAATTCTGCTGATAAAATGATGCTGTGCTAAAAGCTACATCTACAGCTTGATGAAAAGGTATTCCCAATGAGGCCCAGACAGTAAGTCAGTGACCTGACAGCTTGTGAACAGCTTTTAATTATATATGGCTCTTTACAGACTAAAGACAGATGACATTTTAAAACACTTATTAAATTGGGCATTAGAGTGAGCAGTGTCAAAACAGAGAATTTCTGATCAGTAGAGCAATGGAATTTTGGAAACCTGCAAGAAAGAAACAGTCTGTGAATTACAAGACCACTCTAAACCCAAACAAAATTATTTTAAGCAGGGAACATCCAAGAAATTGTTTCAAAAATGCATTGCTGATCTGGACCAAAGAAATGATATAAAGGAACAGGAAGGGTAAAATCTGGGGCTTGTGAGGGAAACAAAGGCTTACTGGATTACTAAATGGATTAGGAAAAAAATGATGAAAGGTGAGTGGAATTTAGACACCAACTAACCTGATAGCACTCAGAAGACGAGACAATGAGAGTAATCACAACCTCAAAGTTCATGAACAACTTATAAATTGACCAGAAAAAATAGCCTGAATCAAGACTGTAAATCTGAAACATACATAGTATTACATATGCTACACATAAAGATTATAACTCATTGAAGCTAATATGTCTGTATGAATTAGGGAGAAAACTTCTTTTTATATGCTAACTGTTCATGCAGGAGTTGTTTTTTCAGTGCTTTTCAGCTTCCTGCCAAATGGCAACCTAGAAGTTCATTTTGTTCTGAAACATTTTGCTATACACTACTTGATTCCAGCAACGCATGTACAAGCCATTAAATTAGACTGTTCAGTGTAGTGACAAAAAAGAAAAAACATTTTATGTGCCAGAGACCAAACAGTCAAGAAAATGAGATAAAAAAATACACTGTCATTCACATGATCAAAATGAAATCTCCAGTTTAGTGTTTTTTTCCACACTTCGTAGACCAAACATATGCTGAGTATTTATATTAAATAACTTTCCCATATATATATATTTCTATGAGTTCAGATCGAGGTCCAGAAAGTAAGAAGCTTGAATTTTCTCTCAAGTTATTATTCAGCTGTTCATTGAGTTGCCTTAAAATTGATACTAAGTTAAACTGATGCTTAAAGACTTACCATTCTTTGAAGCTGGCTGGTTTGCAGTCTTCCTCGCTCACCTAGATTCGTTTTCCATACGATATCCAGTTTACCAATCACAGTTACACCTTTTATTACTCCAGCTTTCTCTGCAAATTCCTGCTTTGGTTTCAGGCAGTATAAATACTGACGTGTGTCCATAGGTTGTAAATAAGTTCTTGAGCCAAAAGTTGACTCACTAGAGAAAAAAAAAACATTATTCCTTCATTTTAAACAGTTATTTTTAGGAGGACTTAACAAGAACTCAGCCTTTGTTCCCCTCCATCCCCATTTTTACTGTGCATGTGGCAATTTAGTTGATACTAGCACACATTTTATATATTCACAATAGAAAACAATTCCCAAATTTATGCAGAACTAAAGGACAGTGTTCAGATGTGAAGAAAGTAGACTCAGCTGAGACAGACAGAACTGAGATGGAAACCCACTTTGTTTATTATCTGGCATCTCAACATTCAAACAATGTGCTGGTTATTTTCAAAAGCTAATTTAATCTCATTAGTCAAGAACTGTATACAGATTTAGCTTTGTTTAAAAAAAAAAAAAAAAAATCAATGGTAGCAATGCTCTATCTACCTTAAACACATATACTAACCTGTCCTTTCAATTTTGCATAGATATTCACAGATTAAAAGATACAGTGGTTAAACAATACGCAAAACCAGCTGTATTCTTTCATGAGTTTTGGGTTTTTGGTTGCTTATTTGTTGTTGTTGGTGGTGGTGGTGTTCTTCTTGTTGTTTTTTTTACCTTCAGGAAGCAGCTACAAACACATGAATACAGAAACCAGGTATCTGATATAGGAAGAGACAAACACTGGTACTGAAACAAATTTAAATCCTCAATTCATTTGTTTTTCACATTAATTTGAATGAGAGCTAGATGAGAGCAGAAAAAGCTGTAATTCAGACTCCCTGTGCATAACTACTACTTTGAAATAAACAATTCTTCACACCAGCAAATCCAAGGAGCTTAGAACTTACCCGTGGAATGAAATAAACCAGGGAATAAATACTTAAGGACCATATATAGATAAAAATCTCCAAAATACCTACCAAAACACTGTTTGTTTTTTGCAGCAGGAAACAGGCTGCTTGTAACAGTCTGCAGAACTAAATACATTAATTCATGTGCTATTAAAATAGCAAATGAAAAAAATGAAAATTTTGCAAAAAAAAAAAAGCCAACACAGTTATTCAATGAAGATATTAACAAAAGATTAAGCTTTGTGCTTGAAACATGCTGAAACATTACTTAATGAACACAGTAGGGAATCATCACATAACATGAAGGCAAGGGCAACAGTAAAGATGGATTAAATTCAGTTCCATCTTCTTATTTTTCAAGAGTTCTTACAACTACATTTTCCACTAACAGTTTAATCATCTTCTCAAGCATCAGGAAAAGGGAGGAAGGTAGCTGCTGAGAACCAATGGGTTCAGGACATGGGTAAAGCTGACATGTAAGTATGATACACTTAAGAAAAACAATCCCTTCTACAAATCACAAATAAATCTAACATCATCAGCTTATTCATATTTTAGAGTAAAGATTTCATGCTCAGAAGTAAAGAACTATATCATTATAACTGGTAAGAAATATAGATAGACTCACTCTGTCTATCAAAGTCCAGTTTATTTCAAACTAATTCCAAGAAGAAATTGCCATGCTTCCATTTCCTGTATTCACAATATGCTTTTCTATTTTATCAAGCACAGATCTTTTAAGTTTTTACCTTCAAGACTCACAGCCCCCTCAGCAACTCAAGGAACCCTTTGTTTTGCCTCTCCAACCTCTTCATTCTTTAATCTTCTCTTTACCACTCTTGCTAGCTTTCAAAAGATTTTCTTAATTGCTACAATTCCAGATGGCAATGGTCACAAAGTGGAATTTCGATCCGTGAGTGCACAACTGCATTTCTGCCATGGTATTCACTAAGTCTCAATATGCAAAAAATCATTTCACACTAAGTCATTCTAAATATATAAACTGTTATTTAATTCCCTTCCAGAAAATTCCAGGCTCTCTCAGTTTTACAAGCTCATGATTACAGTTTCAAGACAAGAAACATTACACTAGACAAAAACAGTTTGTATGAACAGCACTCCACTTTACTGCAGCCAAATGCTTTCACAGACAAGGAAAAGACAGAATTTTCACTTTAGCTCCTACTATAGAGCACTCAAAATATACCTCTTCCAAAAAATCCAAGCAAGTGCAAACTGCAAGCAGACAAATCTGACATCCACCCTACAAGCTTTTCTGTCCACAATAATTTCACAGAACACAGTACACAGCTCTTCTGCTATGTGGTGTTTATTTCAGCATGACAAACACCTGTGGCCTAAGACTCTGAAGGAATTGCATTGATTCACCTTGACTGCTGGTTAGATAAATTTTAACTAGAATAACTGAAAATGGATATGCATCTACTAGAAAGAAACAAGGATGGAAGGGTCCTGTATCTATGAACAGAGAGGTCAGAACCATACGTGTACTAGATTTTATAAAACATATACTGAAATGTATCCATGTTATTATTTGAGGGTGAAAATAGGGATTTATTTATAAGTTTTTAAAAACAATTTCTATAAAAAGAAAATTAACAACTTTTGTAGCTGAATACATAATAGGAATTTGTTTTTTTAATTATGCAAATAAGTGCACTCCTACAGTTACAGGCAACTCAGTGATTATAATGCTTACAACACCTGAAATCATAATACAATGTTTCCTCAGTCTGAACATACCTTTTCCCTGCTGAGTCAACTGTGTTCAGTTCTGCAACGTTGTACATAATGGATGGCTCTAAAGAAACCTTCTCCATAAACATTGGAGAGGTCGTAATGTTCTGAATTTGAGCTTCCAGAAACACTTCGTCTGTCTGGGGAAAAACAAAATAAATAGCAGGATCACAAAAATGTAATTGCTAATATTGAAATAATATATAGTCCTATTGTTAAAAAACAAAAAAAAAGTCGTGTGTATTTAGTTCATGCCTGCAAATCAAAGTAATTAATGCAAGAAAAACCTTAATCCCAGTTACCATTAGTAGGAGCAAAAGTGTTAGTGAACAGATATCTTGCCAAACAATGGATGTGGGATAATCTTTGCATGTTCTAGCTACTGCTTATTTGTAATACTTCAGATTGCCACTTCCCAGGATTTTCAATAACTCGGTAACAACTGAAGTTATAATCCAAATTATTAAAAAAATAAGGAAATGCAGTGCACGTTAATGCCATGCCATGCCAGATTACTAGTGCTGTATAAAAACAATTAAAGGAACTATGCATGTTTTGCTTGAACTAAAGTATAACAGGTCAGGTACATGCTCTGGGATTTTTATTCTGAAACATTTATGTGCCAATTAAAAAGTAAGACAGCTTCCCCTTTCACTTAGCTTCATCATGCCAATGGTCACTAGCATTACCTACATCTAACTATTTAGTGGGTGCTCAACTTTCAAAACGTCCTATAGGATCTATCTGTACTAATAAAGCTAACACCTCAAGATGTTCTAGTGCAGAATGAAAGGTACTGACTGTATTACTGAATATACTGAAAAAAACCTCATGAAACCAGAAGGTTTTTTGCCTCTGCTTCTCTGGAAATGCAGACCATTAAAGTCACCTTGAAGCTCTAAAACTTGGTGGCAGAATAACCATTGAAGGCTCAGGCTATCAGACACGTAAGTTCCTGAAGAAGTGCCAATTACAAAAAAAAAAAAAAAAAGAAGTATGGTATGTGCCGGAGGGAGGAATATCAAATCTGCATTTACAAGACAGTTACCAGTAAACTGTGTAAGTAAACTGATTAAGTGGTATGATAAATCTAAAAGATGTATTTCACTGAGAAATGGAAATAAGCTTACATTTTCTTTTAAATCAGTGTAAATAAGCTGGAGAAGCTCAATTTGTAAGTTACAGAATATGTCTGAATTATGTTATTCTCAAAAGGAACTCTGTTAGAAGGAGAAATACAGACTAGTAATGGAACAATTGATTGTGCCTTACAAACATGTTATGCCTGTATCAGATAAATAGAGGAATGGAAATTGTGCAAGCTTAACAGGCTACCTTGCACTTCCAAGAGTTGGAAATACCCCCAACTTAAACATGGCTCTAGGCACTCATTACAACCACTACCAGACTGTCGCTTAAATTGACACTGTTTATATCCCATAAATCCATTGCTCAAAATCTCCATTAACCCAAGTTTTAGTTGTTTTAACGCAGCAACCATAGGCAGAAATTTTGGAAAAGCTAGTTTGAAAGGGAAAAGAAAAAGCAAGCAGCATAATGAAAAAGCAAGTTAGCTTTGTGTTATTCCTAGATGTAATTGTATAAATATCAGTTTAAAAAATAAATAAATAAATAAATAAACAAACACCTTGAAGTAGTTCACCAGAATGCAGCTTGCCTTAGTACAATGCGCACCTTGAAGTGAAATCAGACTGCAGAAGTACCATACTAACTCATCAACTCTTACATGCAGTTGAAGTTGGAAAGCAAGGCTCCAGCTCAGGAAAGAAAGAACATCCAGCTGCTGCTCTCTCCTCAAACCCACTGTCTCCACTAACTGGATGGGAAAAGTTCAGTCACAGCTTACACAAGTAGTGCTGTTGTTAAATCTATGCTCCTATGGTTCAAAATTAATGTTTTAAAGGAGATTAACTCTCACTTTTATTAAATAATGAATCCCCTTTTCCAGTTAACAAGAAAACTATCTCATCAAATTTCTGTGATATGTCCTACAGAATAGCAGACATGAGAATTTGGAATTACCAACTTTCAGTTTCAACAATGGGTATTAAAGAAAGAGCTAACCATTTAAATGATTAGCTGTACGTATGCAGGACAGATGGCAAAACATCAGTTCATGATATGCAGAACAAACATTGCTTTTCCATTATGTTTTTGAAGTGTCAACAACAAGCAGAGAGGCAGACAGACAATTAAAAAAGCATACAGATTTATAAAAAAAAAAATAAAAATTACCACAGAACTGAGGTCACTCTAATGGGAAAATAAAAAAGAACACATTAGAGAAATTAGAGTTAAATGTTAAAGAAAAAGGAGGCTAACTTTCAAACAAAATGCATTTCTGCATTTTTTTGCACCATCTAAACACAAGAGCATTAGTAAGACAGAAATGTAAATTAAAATGGATGCAAACAAAGATGACAAGTACATTTCTATTAAGTGGTAGCTAGTATTGTTACATGGTTTACTAGCTTTGCTTCAGATTTTACTAACTGCTTGCTGCAGAACCAATGCAAAACAGAGCCTAAAGCATACAAGCCACAAGTAAGGCATGGTAGAATAAATTAATTGTATTTTAAAAAAAGCAGTTTTGGAGCAATTTTAAAATACGTCTTTAATTTAAATCCATGCAATGAGTTGAGTATGAAATGGAAAAACAGTCCTTGTCATTTCACAGATAATTTGAAGTATCCATATATTTAATGTCTCAAAAGTAAAAAGCAGGTTTTAAAATGTTCTAGCCAAGACACAACACTACAGCTTGCAACAAAATTTGGCATAATTTAAATGGGAAAAAAATATCTTTTTTGGGGGAATAATCTTCATCAAAAAGAAAAACCAGAATACTTCAACTGAAAACTTTGTTTTCCTAAGCGTCTGTTATGTTTGCCTCCCTGAGAATGTTTGCAGGAACAGAATCTTTTCCAGATCCTTTCTGAGGCACAAAAAAAAGTCAGTGAGAGACTTTCTAAAGCCTGAGTCAGGTAATTCAATCACAGGATTGCAGCAGGCTAAGGTGACAGGACATGCATTTTATGCACGAATTTCAGTGACCACCATGATTTGGGTGTTACTGCAATATGAGCAACATGCAAGAAGATTAAGTTCAGTGTTATCCCTTGTCTTAGAGGGATGAAATAAAACTAGAAATTGTAATTCATAATTATACTGATAAATTTTACAAATTGATTGCATCTCATCAGTAAAATTAACAGTTCAACTGGTTACCTAACTTTTAAATACCTCTAGTTAATCAGCAACTACACATATCTTCCTCTACTCCCAAGGAGAAGTCTGTCTTAAAATTCAGAATGTAGGCATTGGTGCTTCTGGTAGCAATGTAGTCCACATACAGCATTTACCCACTTTCTTCTTTCTTTCTTTCTTTTTTTTAATCTATCTTTTACTGTTACATCACATAGCAGAACTTAATGTTGTTTCACAAGTGAAATTAAAATCAGTTTGCTGGGTAAATGAAAATCCTTCAATTAATATTATCCACAATTTTTTTAAAAAAGAAGTTTTAATCAATCATATGAATACTAAAGTAATGAAGTCCTACAAATGCCCAGACAGAAAGAACAAAAGGCAACAAAGCAACTTTTTCAAACCTTCATGGATTAAAAAAAGAAAAAAAAAACCCAACCAGTTTACCAATTAAAAACAAAAAACCAAAAATCACAAACCACCATCAGCTCATACACCTCAACTTCTCACAAATTTTTATTTTTAACGAGGAATTGGTGGCTAGCTGAGGGATTTTATTCAATCCTTTATCAATGCCATTTAGCCAAAAAAAAAAAAGAAAAAAAAAAAGAAAATCAAGAAAAGAATAGTCATGACATGTCAAAAGTTTGCCTAAAATTAAGAATTCTTTCAGCATAGAACAAAATTTACATATAAAGTAGAGAGACAAAAAGGTTTAAGACATTTGTCCCTCTTTACCCCACCATGTACATACTTACCCCACCACACAAAATAATGTGATCCATGTAGAAAATGAAGATTTATCTTATTTATGTAATTCGAAAGATATTCCCTCCAAAGATACTCCTGAAATCTATGCTAGATGTTTGAAGCACTCAAGCACTCAGCTAATAGTACACACACATATTCTGATCCTCTCAGGAATGTCTCTTAATCAACCTAATAGCTGAAGGTTAGATGCAGCCAGGTATTTTTAAGAAAATACTCCATTTCAATTTTTTGTACTGTGACATTTAAATTCTTTGAACTATACTTCCTCTAAATAAATCACATGCTATATTAAATGGCTTATAATCTACACGCTGGTCATACACAACAGAGAAAATCTTGGGGAATCTCTTGTGCAACTCTGAACAATGTTGATGTTTGCACCCAAGATCCTCATCTGTAGACCAAAAATTACTATGTCATTTTTCCCGTTTTCTCTGTTGATTTTTATCAGAAATATATCTTTTGCAACTGTAAAGCCATAATCTTGCATGATGAACCCCATATATGAATATGATTGAGATAAACAACTAAGAACAATAGATTTTGAGACACTTTGCTTTTCTACTGCAAATTCGTAGCATGTATCTGCTCCATTAAGATCAAACAGGTTAGCAAAATGTTTTCTACTTAACACAAATTATTATCAGATTGTCACATTTGTCTTTTTTCTTCCATTTATTCTTCACTGCAAAGAATTTTCTGCAATTTCACTCTCATTTAAACTATTTCAACTGAAGTATTTAAGACTACTAGTAAAGATGTTCAATGAAATGACTGTCAGTGTTAGAGTTAACCATGTTTCAGAGGTTATGCCGTAAATTATTATGCATAATGGGAACTCTTTGCAAGAACTTTGTACAAACAGTACAGAACATGCTGGACGTGCTTATTATCAGTATCAACTACTTCTAATGAGATAAAGGGGAAGTTTACATCCTGTAACAGATCTATACAATACATACACCTACAAGGAAAGTCTACAATTGAAAAGAATGATCTATGTAATTTGTAGGAGTTTCCATTATCAGTGCTATCTTCAATTAGAATTCTACCAGTAAAGAGCCAAAAAGAGATACTTAAGTACATCCGAATAAATATTTGCAGTTATCAGGTTTTAAAGTGCCATGCATAACTGATGCAAACCTGAAAATTAAGTTATTTAACAGAAGGGTTACATTTACATTGGAGAAAAATTTGTTTTTCCCATTGTGGTAAACTATTACCTGTTTTTATACAGTTAATCTCCCCTTACTGTAAGTAGTCTATCAACCTAAAAATACTATCTGTAAATGGAAGTATTTGGAGTCATGGGATAGCAGAAAACATGAAAATTTTTCAGCAATTACATCAAATCCTTTACATGCTTGCTTTACATATGCCATTCCTTTCCATTCCATCATGAATCTATTTTTAATTTACATTATATAAACTCATCAGCAAATAAATATGGTCATTAAGAAAATCTCTGAATTTAATCTAACTACCTAAAATGAAGTAATAAACAGTAAACCAAAACAAACCTAAATACAAATAGCTCACATTTACCTCCGCATTGTAGAATTTGGTTTTCACATCTAGTGGTTTGAGCACCTGAGTGAAATGGAAAAAAGACAGGTTGACTATTGGCTTCTCAGACATCATTAGTAAAAACTGTTTAGAAGTGGTAAGTCTTCACCAAAGTGGAATTCTTGGATTTTTTTTCTATTTTTTTACCTTAAGTAGAACAGGTGCATAAAGAAACATAGAATCATTTAAAAATTCAGAATTTGCTATATGCTAGCTGCTAGTTATTTACTGGCCTGGCCGCTTTCTTACTGCCTAAGTAGTCTTATATTGGTAATAAATACTTCTGCAATGTCCCAGTGTCCTCTTATGAAATGAGACAAATATGATGTAGTGAGCAGATTTTGTCTTTAAAAGAACATTACATCCACCTTGCATCCTGAAGTGGTCTCCACTTGCTTTCAAGAGGGGAACAAGAATAATCTAACAGGCCCTTGAGCATTTAGCACAAACAAGCGTTGCTGAGGACGTCTCTAAAAATAAATGAAAGAACTACGCATGTGATTTTCTTAAGCAACGAACCATTACTAGCCATGACTTCCTTCTTGAAAATACAATTGTTAACACTACTACAAATTGAAAAAAAAAAAATAGACACCAGACATTTTAAATCTCATAAATCAACAGTGAAAAATTTGATGACTTAAAAGGAGACAAAGCGATGGTTTAAGTTTTGCGCACAAAACCAGTGTCTTCAACTCCAAGCAGTTAATACTTACAAAATGGAAATACATTGATAAATCTGAAAGAAATAATGTATTACACTTGTAAGGAAACAAGTTTAAAATGTCTTGCTGGGAACATTTATTCTCCTACACATATGGAAGGCCCACAAGATACTAACAGCACACACTGATATTCTTTGTCTGTACCACAATTGGTACAGACAATTGGCAAATTTAAGCTTCTAAAGATCAAAATAATGTTGTCTGCAGTAATCAGATTGAGTACAGGGCTATAAGAGTAAAATAAGATCAGGTGCAATCTGGAGAAGACATGGGCCTAGATGATAAGCCACGGGTCTGGCTTATCACTGTCAGAACCTGTATACGAATAGCCAAAAACATATAAAGTAAAACACGTCGCCCAATACTTCTTTGTTATCCCACAATCATCCCACAATCATCCATATATTCCACAGTAAATCAACACTCATTAAATACATAGCTAAAATACAGTTTCATGCCAAAGTCCAGATGAGTCCAGATGATAGTGATTTCCTGCTTTCATCAGTTATTCTAATCAAGTTTTGGTACCTGTGTGGTGGAATGAAGACTTTCAACTTTATCAATTAAATCTTATGATATTAGTAAAATATAGCAGGTTAGAATTCTTTTTTTAGCTTCCTTTAAAAAAACCCTCTGTTCCAGTTTAAAAAGGTTAAAAACACTAAGAGAAAAATCAGATTTTTATAATGTAAACTCACAAGTTATGTGTGTCAAAGACTGAACTACACTTAACATGTTCAAAAAAAATCACAAAAATGGCAGATTGGAAATTGATTTTTCTTTACCAATCAGTGAAAAAAACAGTATCTATTACTTCCGAAAACTTTAGCTGCACTGTAATTATAAACCATCAGTTCACACAGTTTGATGTGATACCTTCTATCAATTTGATTTCAAGTGTCAAATACATAACAGCATATAAAAGTACTTCTGAAGCATAAACTGTTTTAACTTTAGTTTTTCAGATTTATTCACTTCTTACAAATAAAGTAGAATACTGTGTGCTGTACCTGAAATTTGAAGAACTTTCTGAAGTACATCTTCTCTCCTGTTTGCGTAGTATAACTTACTGCACAAACTAAGCTAAAAGAAATATTTAGGAAAAATAATAATTAAATTTTGTACTGTATCAAAGAAGGAATAGAATATCAGGCATGTGCTGCAGTTTCACAGTTTATTATAGCTCTGCAGTGCTAAAATAAATCAAGAGTCTGAAGATTTAAAATCTTACATGTGTGTTCCTATTTCCTTCACTTCATGATGAATTACATCATCAATACAGCAGTCAGGTTTAAGTTCTGCCACTGCAGCAGTAGAAGCTGAAAGGTTCAAGCGCTGAGAACTTGTCTGAAGATCAGCCTAAGAACAGAAAAACAAAGCATCAGCTAACACTACAGCTGCTTAAGGCAATCTATGGAAAAACAACTTAAGCTGAGAAGTATCTGAGGGTTTTGTATCCTGCACGTTTTTATACATAAAGTACAACTGTGTTCATTGCAAGATAAGTTGCTTCCATGTATTTTAGAAATTGTTATAAAATCCCCATTTACTCTTGAGTTCCTTGAACTTCTAAAATTTTGGTTCTCATGCAATTCTCTGTTCAACAAGAAATGCAAAATACGATGCACCAGGAAATAACTCATTCGAAACATAAGCAAAACACAAGTAAATATATACTATAAAGAGACTAGCTTTGATTATATATAAGTGAAAGTGCAAATAAAAGAACAGTTGTTTTTTTGGCTTTGGAAGTTTTGTCACTAATTCTCCAGAGAAGCTTTACAAATTATCCACTTTTTAATACAATTTCTTTTTGTTTTTTAATTTTAATATTTAAATATTTCTTATCCCCACTTCCATTTTCATTTGTGTTTGTTTCCAGTTGCAAGGAATATTTTCTGGATCAAAAAAGAAGTGACAAACAGTCTATGTATAAAACATGCTAAATGCACTGATATTGTGACAAAACAATCAAGATCTTTTGTTTGCTTTTAACAAACCCAGTATATAGATTTCACATACCTTCACCAGTATGTCCTTGACAACTTGATTACTATCATTATGTACACTAATGTAACTGGAAAATGTTTCTCCCAGAAATATATTTCTGTATTTAAAAAATATACATATATGTTTAGCAACAACAACAAAAAAAAACACAACAATTCAGAAAATCCCATTTTTAATATATTTATTTTAAGCAGATCATTAGCCTCGCCAACTTTAATTAGTATCTCCAGTTCTTAAAATGCTAGAAAGATGGATAGAGATAGAGAGGCTCACAAATGTTGTACTAAGTCCAGCATGAAGAAATACAGTGCTTAAACTATATTGCAACAGTCCACAGGCTCGCTGGAAGAAATCCATGTGGTTAACTTTTTATACTTTACTAGTATCCAGAAGGAAACAGAGCTAGGATTTATAGGATTCAAATTTAAGAATAGCTAGGGAGGCTGCCAAATCAAACCTTACAATATGTTGGCAATTTCACACCCATTCTTCCAATTGTCATCCTTCTAAGAGCAAATTTCAAAAGAAAACAAGAAAATCAAAAGTTTTTACAAGATAAGAACACAAAGACACACAAAATAATAGACAATACTGCAACACACAGAAATCATCGCAATAAAATCTATCAGTATAAGCTATGGCTTATAGCAGCATTTTATATCAGAACTTCACCAAAATTTCTTTCAACTTTCTGTTCTTGATACATTCAATCAGGCTACAGACAACATTAGGCAATACATATTTAAATGATACATCACATTCAAAATCGAGTCATAGAATGGTTTTAAAATGATTGAATATTTTTGCATAAAAATGATATTCAGTAAGAAAGGCAAGTAAGAAATGTTAAATGAATCCCAGAAATTATTATACATTACAACTATTCAGTCTTACCCAAAATTCTGAGGCAAAGTCAGCATTTCTCCTAGCATCAAAGCTTCTGCTCCTTTTACAGTAGAAGGATCATCTTTCATGAGCTGGTTAAATAGATTACCTGTAGAACATCAAATTGCATACATCTTAATAGTAGCCAAGTCAAAGGCTTTGTCTGCATTTAGGATATGACACGTCTTTTTTTTTTTTTTTCCTCAATTTATGCTAAATATACTTATTTTACAACCAACTTACTTATGGACAAAACACATGTATATATGCTTGTTTATAAATTAAGGCTTTTAAAACTATGCTGAACAGCACAATCTCAAAGGCATTCTCAAATTATAATTAAACCTTAAGGAATGTTCTGTCTAAATAGAGCACACCATGTAACACAATTAATCAGCCCCATTTACCTTCTCCCCCAACTGCCTTGCATTTCTACACAGGTCTCTTTTCTTGGATCTTTCCCTTTTTCTTATACTTCTAAGTTGCAACTACTACTGAGGGATAATCCAGGAATTTGCAATACATGACTCTCCATGTGATTCTGCTGTGATTCAATTTCCATAGTAATATGTCGATAACAATTAGTGCGGTATTTTCTCCAGATAAAGAAAATATTAACAACAACCTTTTGTTTTCTACAATTACATGTTTTTCTCTGTTACAGATGTTTTCCCAATTAAAATAACTGCATGCTCCCTACCTCACAGTAACAAATATAGAGACAGTGTGTTAAGTGCTCAGACTTCAAGTTCATATTTTCACAATATAATCACTAAGTTTTCAAGGCTGTAGGTGAAAAGTTGTATAGTGCATCTTGGTATTTTCCCATATGTAATACCAAACAAAACGCAGTGGCATTTCAGATTACTTTCTACAGAAGCTCAGAAGAATTCCTTTCACATATAAATCTTAGATGCACTGCTTAAACCTAGCAATAGGTAAACTGTATGGGAACTGTTGAACCATGGCCTGAACCACTGGTTGATCACCTGAGGTAAGCACTTAGCCCAAGGAGCACAAGTGAAGGCAATTAGCTGTGTGTCTGGAAGGGGTGGAGCGTGGCTGCACCTCTCCTAGACCCCATTTAAGGGCTGACTGCCACTGAGGAAGGATCTCTTCCTGGAGATCCCTCCTTTTGGAGTTTTCTACTTTGAGACTAGGACATTGGCGAGCATTTCATTTATTTTTGATTGTCTCTTTCTACCACAATTATCTTTCTAACTATGAACTTGTAAAATACCATCCTAACCACGCCACTCTTCTAACTGTTCATTTGTTAACTGTACAGCACACAACAATCAGTTAGTAGATAAAACATACCTGGCAAATCTCTTTCTTCACAAGTCACTGGAATATTAGTGAATAAGGTAGGCTTTGTTAACCTCATCACTGCAAAAGCAGAAAATAAACCATAGGTCAACTAACAAATTAATTTGTTTGTTTTAAACACAGTTCTGTCATGCACTTCCTCCATTAAAAAAAGAACAAAACACTACTAAATCTCAGCTCAAGTGATGTCAAGATCTTTTAGTTCATCTGGTCATTTTCAACAGAATAAATTCCCTGTTACTCCAATCCAAGCGTACAGGTGGTGAAATTGGTCCCTCTTGCTTTCTCTAGCACAATAATATCTACCTTTTTTTTAATCTTAAATTTGAATCCATCCTTTCTGTTAAAATGTTGTACAATGTTCTTTGTGGATTCGAGGAGCGTACCAGCTTCATTCTGTGTGACCAATCTAAGTCTGCTTAGATGTCTGTTCTGTGACTCTGGATACCATAGAATTGAACTTAATGACTTATTTGGATCTTAGCAGCCATAAATACCAGGACACAACACAACTTACATCCCAATCTCCACAACATACATATGATACAGGTAGAAGTAAGGAGCCAAGATTGTTAAATACAACAGCAATAGTGCCAAACGAACTCCTCAGGGATCTTCTTATAAAATCTTTCATCAATACCAATAAAATCAAAATCATCAAGATCTTCTCATTAAAGAAAAACTCTACTTCAAAAGGTTGTGTTTTCAATGGCATTTCTTCTATGAAGATAGAAAGAGAGAGTTGAGCTCTTCTCTCCTGGAGAGGAGAAGGCTCCAAGAAGAACTGACTGCAGTTCTCTAGTATCCAAAGGGGAGCTACAAGAAAACTGAAGAGGAACTCCATTAGGAAGTGCAGTGACAAACTGTGCAATGGTTTCAAACTAAAAGAGGGCAGATTCAGATTAGGTATTCTGAGGAAATTCTTTAATCAGAGGGTGGTGAGGCCTTGGCACAGGCTGCTTATCTCTGGAAGTGTTCAGTGTAGGCTGAATGGGTTCTTGGGCAGCTTGATCTGGTGGGAGGTTTTCCTATTCAAGGCGCTGGAATGGAACTAGGTGATATTTAAGATTCCTTCCAATCCAAACAATTCTGCGATTCTCTAACTTCACTTTAACTCAAAATACTCAAGGTCACATAATTTTCATTTGCGCTACATATTTAAGATTCTTGAAGTTACAAATTTCCTCCCTACTAATACAAATCAATGTCCCCATCCTGCATATTGCTACATATAAATGCATCCACGTAGAACTTAAATTTAGCATTTGCAATCTCAAATCTTTTGATCTGAATATGTAAAATGCACCGATTGCTTTCTCTTCTAAACTTACAAAACATAAAACCATATTATTTTATAAAAAATCATATTTCTCTTGAATACAAGATGTTAAACAACAACCTTGCACTGAAACACGTATTGCAATTTCACCTTTATTGTACTACTTACAGACCATCTCAGCATTCGCTATTTCCAACTGTATAAAAATATTCAACTGCTCTCATATAGTAGTGGGCTGTGCTGGTTCACATTAACTTATACTATCATACAGCAAACCTATACAAGCTAGTATTTACATGAACAAATCTTAGTTTTCAAATTTAAAACAACAACAACTTGAATACATTCTCTTTTGTGTGCGTGTACAAAGATTAAAAATATGATCCCTGAAGGCTCTGTACCATGAGGTAAACAAAAAGTCTCAAAATACACAAAACAGAGGACGTAGAGAAGCGGATTCCACATAGGAACTGAAAAAGATACTGAATTACATGTGCATATGAACAAAGCAGTTCTGGATAGCTCAAAATAGAATTTTTTACTTCATTTCTACATTAGTCCTACCCAAAACAAGTAGTTCTATAGAAAAACTAAATGCTGCATTCATTTACTACTGTCTAGTTTTCCAGCTGTGGTGTACCCACATAGCACAGTGAGTATCATTGGTCATAAGCCCTCTAAGAGAAAGCAGCAGAAACCTGACAACTACAACTGAATAACGGCACTGATCTCTGTTCCAAATTTAGGAAGACTGAAGAGTATCAAGTTGGAAAGGATCTACAAGACTCCCAGGGTCCAGCCCTCAGCTCCACACAGGGACATCCAAAATTCAAACCCTGCATCTGAGTGTTGGCCAGATGGTCCTTGGGCAGAACTGGTATCATGACCACTATCCTGAGGAGCCTGCTCAAGTGCCCACTGCCCTCTTGTGCAGACCCTGTCTCCAACCCTCTCTTCTCCCCTCCCCTGGCACAGCTCCATGCCGTTCCCTCGGGTCCTACTGCTGTCAGAGAGTAGAGCTCAGCACTGCCCTCTGCTCCCTGTGAGGAGCTGCAGCCACCATCAGTCCTCCCCTCTGCTCCTCTGCTCTGTACTGAGCAGACTCAGGGGCCTCAGACACTCCTTGCCCTCCAGTCCCTTTACCATCTTCATAGCCCTCCATGGACACTCTCTAATACGTTTAAGTCCTCCTTATATTGTGCCGCAAAATCCGCACCCAGAGCACAGTGTGGAACAGGAGGGACAACCCCTCCCTCACCCACTGGCAGTGCTGAGCCTGATGCACACCAGGACACAGATGGTACTTTTGGCTATCAGGGCATACTGCTGCCTCATGATTTAACTTGCCATCAGCCAGAACGCAAGATCCCTTTCTATGGGGGCTGCTCTGCAGCCTCTCATCCACAAGTCTGTACGCTCCAGGACAGAAACTGGCACTTCTGATTACGACTCAGGCACTTGGTGAGTGCCCAGCACTCTCATTTGTCATGATCTCTTTTCCAAAACCAAGAAATGTTTTCTTAGTTAAGTCCTAAGTGTATTTAAAGAATATAGTGGGGTTGTATTACAGACAGTTACCTAATTGTCTTCAAATCTACAATAAGCTTATATATCTAGAACTGACTACTTATAATGGAAGAGTTACAGCTCAAGTTTAAAATAAAGATAACTGTAATAAAATTAAAAATATACACCATGGAATGAAGTCAAAATGCACAAATTAAGACATGTAGATTATTGTATTTAATGAGACTACTAAAGTATTGTTCTTGTAGTATTACAGATTCTCTTGCTTTTCTTCTCAGATTCTAGATATAAAAGTTACACTTAATAAAACATTCTGCATCTTACTCCACTGTATCTCTAAAAATTCTGACAGCACAAAGTAACTTCATTACTATCATCTTTAAGATTAGAGAAGTAATTTCACTGATGTAAGTTGGCTACATTAGCTTTACAACTAATAGTGACAGCTAGTTACTTCAGTCATTTGTCATATCAGTATGCTAAGCAGTAATATTAAATCCCACAGATGCACCAAATTATAATACAGAACATTCAGCCTTCAGCCGAAGTTTAAAAACACATGGCAATGTTCCAAATTGAGCAGTATCCTTTGTTTTAAACTACAAAGAGGTATGCAGTGTCTACAATAAAATATTATTATTCAAACATTATCATATCAAGAAAAACAAACAAAATTCCAAAGGGAATATCCTGGAGAAATTAAGTGCAGAAGTATTATTTTTTTTTCCTTTAGACAAAGAATGAGAAAAAAGAACACAGAATATTGTACTAAATCAAACAAATGTACTGATCTTCATTGACCCATTCATGATTTTCCCAACAAATAAACTTAAAAACACTACTACAGCTTTAAAACTGTAGTAAAGTAACAAAGTTATTTTCTCCTAATTAATTCATCAGCTGTTCTGAAGTTTGTATATTTTAAGCTCCTTAAAAACTAAGCTACCTAGAAACTACTTCAGACAACAATATTGTTACAAAACTATCTTACAATTATAAACTAAATATAATTCCAAATTTATGTACAAGCAAATTCATTTTATCAGTAAGACTTAGCTTTTCCCTAAGAATATTTCTAATATATTCACAGTATAGTATATCACAGAAAACCCATATCTGTCCCAAAGATCTTTGAATAGTAGCATTGCAAGACGGCAATTCGTTCTGCTTGATAAGTCTATTCAGTTTTATCCAGATGTCCTCCAAGTTCTGGTTATTACAGTTAGACTGCTCAATTGTCCACTTTGCTCTATAAAATGCATGCAATTTAAGTCTTTCCAAATTGTTTTGAAGTTCTTGAGATAGAGGAAGAATCTTTTCTTTAAGCTTAGGGCTAGAGAGAGAGACACTCCAAGACCTTTTCAATTTCTGTTTCTCATTAGATGGTGGTTCTCCTTGATTCTCCAAGCTAATTTGCCTGCGGCCATTTTGTGTGTGGATTAAAGTCTGCCCATGATTCACATCAGACTGAAATTCAAGGAGATTTTTTGTGCAGTCATAACTAGGAGATTCTACAATATATTCTGAAGGTGTAGCAAGTTGTTTCAATTCTTCTGCTTCTTCAGAAGAAATAACTGGTGGTTGCTTTTTTGGTTTGAGCGGTAGTCTGTACAAATCATTTGGAAACCAGGGTGTGAATCTTGGTAACTGACGAATGGGAAACTCCTTCACTGCTGCTTCTGCAAATTTCTGCAGTTCTGTCAGATCTCTCTGATGTGGTCGATAATGTAAGACCACTTCCATGCTTGTGCAGTAGGAATTCAGTTATTCTTAATTACAAGAACAGTCTCTTGATGAGGATTCATAAGTCTAGATTGAAACATCTTATTTGCAAGAACTTCCTTGCCCCATGCTGCAAAGATCAGTGGGAAACGGGACCTAAAGCAGAAGTATTATGAAAAAATAAGACACTTCCAAATTAAGAAAAACATTGCTAGGATATTCCGTAAAAAAAGCAACATGTGGTAAAAACAAGCCAGACGTGTATATTAACTTTTTATTTACTCAAGCTGACTACAGCAATTGTGTTCCATCACCACCAGCATAACTTCAGTATACTGAACATTACCCACAAGAACGCATTTTAATAGATGCTGTCCTTCCTCAAGAGTATTCCTTTTACTGGAACGTTTTCATGCTTGCCATCTACCTGTCAATCTCGTTACATTTTTGTGATGGGTATTAAGGATAACTGAGACGACCTCAAATGTTAATTCTTACATATTAAGGCGAGCATAATTCTCTTTTTCCAAAGATTCTGTACGCACATGACTTTATGAATTCTAAGTGTATTATCAAAGCATGAAGTAAAATAATTTTTAAAAATATCACCTTTAATAAGACACATCACCACCACTGTCTATTTCAGCAAACTCACCAATCAAATATTTATTTTTGAAGCATTTTCCCCCCAAAATTTCAACAGACTAAGCTGAGGCATCTGAATTAACTACAGAACATACTGTGTATTACAGAAACCCTTTCAGAAATAGTACTGACAGATGCTGCAGTTTTTGAAGTTGACACTAAAAGGTAAGGTGTCTAAACAGACTAAGGTCTGCTTTTTTTCCCAGTTTATATCATGTTCATAGACATTCAATTCTTACCCTCATAGCTTCCAAGGAATACATGCAGACATTCTTTCAGACCTAATAAGTCCTTACAGATTTCATACTCTAAAAATATCAGTACCTTCTTTCTTTCATTTAAAGACCAAATTAAACGTAGGGGAAAAAAACAAACAAACAAACAACAACCTACAAACAGGACTATGAGATGTAACACAAAACACATTATAACATGCACTCTCACTCGAGCTTCCCCTCTCCACTTATCAAGTTTGCAATCATTTCAGGTTCTCCATCAGACATCAGCAATATACAACAATGTTAGAGTCACTAAAATTTCAAATTGCTTAATCGTGTCAATATTTTGTATAAAATAGGGAAAAATGCAAAGATATTCAGGTATCTTCAGACTTCTATTTGTAAAATATACAGTGTGGGCACTGTATCAAATTCAATACAAGCCCAAGGATCCTACTGGTTTATTGCAAAAGCAGATTGACATGCCATCCAACTTGTTCCTTTGTATAAATTACTAACAAAATGTTCTGATAATGGCAGCTGACAGTATTCCACGTTCTTACGTTTTGGCTTAGCTGTTGTCTGTGCACACGTACAAAAAAGTGGTTGCTGATCTCTGAATTATGGTTGATAGATTTTACTATGACGTGCTGAAAACCCTCTCAAAAAACACTGTGAAGCAATTAAACAAACAAAAGATGGAGTCTAACATCATCTACGCACCTGCACTGCTTTACATAACTGAGCCATCTCACTCACTTAAAATACACACGTAATTGAGGTTTTAGCTGTTCCTTACTCCACCGCAATAGCAATGCTTATTTCCAACAAGCACTGTTCAAGAGAAAGAAGGTGGATACTTCTGCTGACTGCAATAAGGGGCAGCTAGATTCAGGTTTTTCACTGCTTCAGCTCCTGATGGTACCCAAGTGCCTGTTGGCACAACCAGCTTTTCTATAGAAATCTATCGATTATTTTTGTTTCTATCAGCTCTAGCCCTGCGAGCTCAAGAGAACTACCAATTTTTTCTCTCAATACCCGTGTTTCCTCAATCAAGAATGTAAGCCAGCGGCTGTTCACCGCGGGAAAAAGGAAGAAAACAACAATCTTGGGGCTAGAAAGAAAATCTTAAAACAATAAATAAGTAAATAAATAAAAGTTGGAACTGCCGAAGCCCGTCTGCAAACCGAAATACGGCCAAGAGCCCGGAGCGCCCCGCCAGGCCCGGCGCGCAGCCCCGCCCTCCGCCCGCCCGCTCCCCGCAGCGAGACGCGGCCACGCAGCGCGCCCCGTCCTTCCTCAGCCCTCCTGTGCCCCGGCGGGAAGCAGCTCGGCCCTCAGCGCTTCCCAGGCTCAGCGAGCGGCCGCGGGACTCGCCGGCTGAGAGCGGCCCACGGGGACCCAACGTCGCGGCTCTCCGGCCAGGCGAGGCAGGCGCCCGTACCTTTCAGGGCCAGCAGGTGCTCCTGCTTGGGCTGGTTAACGTCCATGGCTCGGCCGCGAGCCCCGAGCGCCGCAACCAGGGAAGAAGTGCGCAGGCACGGCGCGGGCGGAGCGAGCACCTCTGAACCCGGAAACAGCTGCTCGGGACACGCCCCGACCGACGGCGACGGCGACAGCCGCGGCGCCACGAGCCGCAGCCAGCAAGGCGCTGCGCCCGCTCAGCCCTCCGTCGCAGGGAGGCGGGCCCCGCGGGCGCCCAGCGGGCGATGCCTGCCGGGACGGACAGTCCGCGAGGGGTCCCGGAGGCGGCAGCCCGCGGAGCACGACGGGAACTGCAGTTCTTTGCTGCTCGCTCGGAGGAAGCGCGCGCAGCCCCGCCCCTACCGCTGCAGAGCGTGCGCGCGCTAAGGCGGGGGCCTTTCTGTGGGCCCGCTGTGCTCCGCCCTTCACAGATGGCGGCCCTGGCTGTAAACAAGGCTGGGGCCGGCCCGGACGGCGGCCGCGGAGCCAGTAATAACCGGGGCCCGACCGGCGCCGCCGTGAAGGTGAGGCGGGCTGCCTGCTGCTCTTCGGCTTGTGGTCTGCCCCTGCTGGGCCCGGTGAGAGGCCTGGCGAGGGCTCTCCGGGGCAGCCGGGTTTCCCTGAGGCGGTGGGTGCCGGGCCGCGCTGGGACGCCGCTGCGGGTGGGCCTCGCTGCCTTTCCATCTCACCGCGCGGCTCCGGTGAGCGGCTGCGAAGCGGGAGGCGGTCGGGTGGCGGCGTGCCCCAGCTCCTCTCTGGAGGGCTGCCGCGTGCTGCTTCCGTTTGATTTTTTTTTCCCCTCAGTCTGGAAACAGATGGTATGTTTTCTGAAATCATAGGTTCTTGAGTGCGGAGTCTGTGAAGATGTGTTTTCTTTACAAGGAGATAAAGTTCCTCGGCTGCTTCTGTGTGGCCATACCGTCTGCCATGACTGCCTGACCCGGCTTCCCCTTCACGGCAGGGCTGTCCGCTGTCCTTTTGATCGGCAAGTTACTGAATTGGGTAAGAAAGCTTTAGCCTGAGTTTGTTGAGACCGGGCAACCCGGAATGTTCAAAAGACTAGGAAGCTTTAGCAGAGAAGGTATAAAAGCCACTTTGTGTTAGTGGGCTGGCAGTGTGTGGTGTCAGAATTTTTACAGTTGCTAGTTTCCTTTGGATGGAAAGGCATTAGTACAGTAAAATGCATGATTAGGTTATGTGTGTGGATAATACATAGAGCCAAATAATATGAATATGCTAGCTGTGGTGTTTGTTTTGCAGCATTCCTTCTGTGGAATGCTTCTTTGCATTAAGAGAAGTGAGAAAGATCTCTCAAAGATAAAGTAATAAGTCTTTATCTTCTCATTGAACATAGGCTTGCAAACATCTTATTTGTAAACCTGTATTTACAAAATAACTGGTCTGTTTCAAATCCCTGTTTAAGGATACTTCAGAGGATATCAGTTTCCTGTTGTCTTAAACATTAAATAAACCATACTGTTATGTAATTTTTTTGTCTGTCAAACAGATTTGTCTGGATTCACGATGAAGTGATAATAAACCTGTTCTTAAACTATATGATAATTCTAAGTGTAATGTAACTTAAATTGGCAGGCCATCTACAGGGGTTTTATTACTTTAGAAACGTCTCTGAAGAGCCTTTGAAAGGATCAGATATGGCTTTTATTCCAGAGTGGGAGTCTGTTTCAGGCAGAAAATGGCACATGCTTGTGATTGTCTATTCAACATAAGGTTACAGAGAAAACAAGTTGCTAGAAGAATTTGTGTCAAGGTTAACTTGTGAATAGAACTGTCTGTAGTAGCTTTGAATAGCATAGTGAATAAAAATGTTAGGATGGAGGCAAATCCATGGAGCAGGAGATCTCAAATGTAGATGAAATGAAATAAATGTACAATTATCAGATTAGCATGATTAAGTATTTACTTTGAAGTGAGAGGGTCTGCTAGAGTGAGAAGAATATTAAAGCATGTAATGGAAACAAAAACTCACGAAAGAAACATCAGCATGATGTGCAGGAGTTCTGTTTGTGATAGGAGAGTGTGGATGGTATGTGATTGAAAGAGTCTCACAATTTGTTTTTTTATCCATGACTGTACATCTGTTCAGGGTTTCTGTATGTATGCTTTAATAGGGAGTGCGTGTTAGTCTTGCTGTTGTGAAAGTGTGAGACAGCTGCGTGTGTCTTGTAATCTGAGAGCAGAGGTTTTTATTGTAATTAGGTCATTGTCACATTGACATCTATGTGATTTCCACCTGACAATTGAAAGCATCCTTTTTTTTGAGTTTCAGATTTAACAAAAATGCAGTTTTATAACAACGCTAAGTTTCTTCATCTTATATAAAATTCATAGTTTCTCATGAAACATAGTGACGTGTTAGATTTGCAAGGTTTCTACAGAAAGGAAGATGGAAAGAAAGTTGCAGTGTTCGTTTCTAGGAAAGTAGGTTTGCATCTCACTGGATAGTTCTGGAAAGGATGATATGCTGTGACTAGTCATTGCTCAAAAAAAAAAAAAAAAAGGAAAATTTTAGCAAAACAGCTTGAGAGTCAAAATGCTTCTGTGAATAAAAATGTTCTGCCCGATGATTTGAAGCAGAAGAGGGTCATAGCCACATTTCATCTCATCTGTTCTGTAAGGGCCGTCTCAGGAAATAGTACTTACAGCATGTAAAAATGTGGTGTATTATGGGCAGCATGCTATCATGATCTCTCTGAATAGCTTGTGCATTTGTTGTCTTGACCTAATCACCTGTTAGTTACTGTTGTTATTAAATTCAGCTGTGGTTCTGTTTCATTCAGTGATCTCAGGAGTGGAATTGGGAAGGAGGCATGGCAACCCTGCACTTGCTAAAAGCAACTTCTGGTTCTTCCCTCCCCTCCATTTAGGAACCTGTTAGGAAATAAGCTCCATTCTGCTTTTAGTGAGTTTAAACTCAGGCATCTGGTCAGTAACTAAATCTAGATTATGAGATTGCTGTCCTGAGAAAGTTCTGTTGAAGGAAGAGCTGGGTAAATGGGGCAAAAGGCAGCCTGATTTTAACAAATTGTTAAGATACTAACTACAAATTTCATGAATGCTTTTAAGCTAATGGAATTTTAAACTATACATTTAAGCAGATAAAATTACTTGTTTTTCCTTGCTTTTTCTACTATCACTCAACTCTACATTTGTCTAAGTATTCGTCTAAGTATTCAGAAGGATTCTTAAGCACTTCTCAAGAGATACCCAGAGATTTTTAGGAAGGATATCTTTTCCCTGTTCTGATTTGGGCATTTGGTTAAATATACTTGCCTGTCTCTTCTAGATATGGAAAACAGACAAAATACTTCTAACTCTGGCTTCTCAAACAATCAGGATTTCAGGATATGCAGGGTCTGCAAGTAAAAATTGACAATAAGACTTACAAAGCTTTTTTTCTACCAAATACTGAGGTGTGGGAGAGTAGGCAAGTTGTTTCTAAGAGTCTTCTTTCTCCCTTCTCCTTCATATACAAGATTAAAGTTTTTCTGTGATTAGTTTTTTGGTGTGCGTGTGTGTTTTTATGTGCGATGTTTGGGTTGTTGTTTTCCAAAATACATAGGCCAGGGACTTTTGGGAAGGATGTGCTTATGTGATATCTTTGGAGGCCGGCATTTTCACTTCACCTGAGCAGCTTTGCTAAGGAAACATTTTCAAGTTTATTTCTCAGGTGTACTCTTCCTGCCATCATCATGTTACAGGGCTTGAACTACTTTCTGTCACTAAAACTTGTTCAACTAATGTATTCAGACTTTGGTATACATCACTGAATCTATTCCATTGGCACTGTTTATATATTCTTTTGCTAGAGCACTAAGATAAAACTTCAAAACATTGTGCAAGAAAATGCAGCTGTAATATAATATCCCTTCTCCTTTGTTCAGGTATTTAGATGCAGGTGGCTCTTTTTATTACTCCTGTTACTTATTTTTTCCCGGACAAGCTTCGTGCTCTTGAAAATATTTGTATTGCTGGCAGGAGTCCATCTTAATATCTTCAGCAGGTCAGTCACTGTCTCATTCCTGGCAGACATGCTTCCTGCTAATCATGTATTACTCTTCTTTATAAAAGAAACCGTCAGATTGTGTGGTAGTTCTGTAACAGGCACAAACATCCCTTGTAGGCATGGAGGTGAGATCACTAGACTCTTTTACACTTGTGACGAAAGCAGAACTTGAACTGAAGAGACTAAACAGATGTGCTTATGCAACTTTTCTTCCAGTGTTGTTTTCTTATTAAGTATATGCTTACTATGCAGCAATTGTTTAATATGTTTAGTACAAAAAGGAGCAAATAGGCTTTTTCTCAAACAATGTAAACTTTGATAAGTACCATTGAAATGAAATGTGAGCTTCTGTAAAACAGTGCCTATTTTATAGGTTTTTATTTGTTATAAATTCTGCTTTAGTAGATTAGTTCAGATGTTTACATGTAAGTGTTGCCTGTTCTTCTGTGTGTCTCCAAGGTTGTCAGTGCACTTAAGATATGCATAGCATATATTAGCAAATTTCAGCATTTATTTCAGTAAATCAGAGTGAGTTTGTTCTTCTAACATGTTTAAAATCTGAACTAGAAAATCGTTTGTAAGACAGAATAGCTACAGACATATCTTTCCTTTAAGCTAATTTTGCTTTTTTTCTGACTTGACTTTTTCTTCATGCTAATTGTGGAAGAGGAGAAGAACGTGATTAAGATCAGATAATGGAATGTAAACAAAGGGCAGTACATTTATTAAGGAAATATTCTTGGCTTTTTAATTTTTTTAAATTAACATAAAAGACTTTCATAGCATACTCTATGAAGATTGAACAGCTTCTTCATTTTTCAGCCTTATCCAGTATTTGATTAAAAGCTAAGAAAATGTTTGGTAAGCAGGTTTATCCTTTCGGTGACTGTGCATCCATGTATATTGTTATTAATGGCTCTCTGGATTTTTGAGAGCTACACAAGTATCAGTACTCATTACACGGGTGTGCTATTAATGTGCAGGTATTATACTGTAGTAACTGAAGTTTGTACATAGTCATTTTAGTATGGGATTGTGTTACTCTAAATGCTGTAGAAGAGAACCATCCGGATGCTTTTCTGTAATTGCTTTTGGGGAG